AGATCAACAAAACTAAAATTCTTTGAAAAGGATTTTGAAATGACAAACAAAGCCAAACTTTAAAACTAGGTTACTTACCAGGCATGAAGGCTCACACCTATAATCCCAGAACTTTGGGAGGCAAGGCGAGAGGATTGCTTGAGCCAAGGAGTTTAGGACCAGCCTAGGCAGCATAGCAATCTCTCACCTCTACAAAAATAAAAAATAAGCTGGTCATGGCAGTGTGCACTTGTAATCCCAGCTACTCGTACGCTAAGGCACCTGAGCCCGGGAGTTCGAGGCTGCAGTGAGCCATGATCGTGCCACTGCACTCCAGTTGGGGTGACATAGTGAGACTCCAACTCAAAAAACAAAAAAATCAGGTCTTTTATATAGCATAAATTCCTAGGAGTAAATCTGACAGAAAGATGTGCAAGACCTCTGTGGGAACATTTTAACGGTGAGAGATATTAGCGACCTATGAAAATGTAGAGATATGCTGTGTTCTTGATTTCAGGACTGAAGTTGTATAAAGATGTCAGTGCTCCCAAAACTAAATTATCATCTCAATGCAACTCCAAAAAAAATCCTAACAGATTTGCCAGGGAAGTTGTGGAATATGACAAGTTGTTTCTATAATTTATATAGAAATGGAAAGGACCAGAAATAAAAGCCAAGATATTCTTGAGGCAAAACAAATAGGAAGGACTTGTTCTTCTAGTTACAAAATATAATTAAGAATTAGACCTGCCAGACACGGCAGTGCTCAGCCTGTAATCCCAGCACTTTGGGAGGCTAAGGCGAGAGGATTGCCTGGAGCCTCAGGGGTTTGAGACCACCTGGACAACTTGGTGAGACCTCATCTCTACAATAAATCACTAAAAACTAAATGGGTGTGGTAGCATGTGTCTGTGTTCCGACTACTTGGAAAACTGAGACAGAAGAATCACCTAAACCCAGCAGGTCGAAGCTGCAGTGGCTGTGAACGTGCCACTGCACTCCAGCCTGGGCGACAAGTGAGACTCCAATTCAAAAAATAAATAAATAAATAAAAGAATTAGAACTTTCCTGAGCCTGTGGGTTCAAGATCAGCCTGAGCAACATGGTGAGACCTTGTCTCTACAATAAATTAAAAAATCAGTTGGGCATGGCAGCGCACACCTGTAGTTTCGGCTACTTGTGGTGGAAGGATCGCCAGAGCCCAGCAGGTCGACACTGGGGGTCACCGTGAGCATGTCACTGCACTCCAGCCTGGGCGACGGAGTGAGACTCCAACTCAAAAAAAAGAAAAAGAATTAAACCAATGACAGAGAATAGATGCCTATAAGACCATGCTTATAAAGACAGAACAAGGGCACTGTCAAGCAATGGGGAGAGTCAGTCCTCATTAGTCCTTAGTACCTTTTGTACAACAAAAGGTACTAAGACAATTAGGTAGCCATGGAGAAAAAAATGAAATTGTTTTCTACAACTCAAACCATAAAATTCTATTTCATGTGCATTAAGGTTTAACTGTAGGGGTGGGCACAGTGGCTCACACCTGTAATCCTAGCATTTGGGAGGCTGAGACAGGAAGTTTGATACTAGCCTGAGCAACTTAGCAAGACCCCATCTTTACAAAAAAAAAAAAGTTAACCCAGCATGATTACATGACCCTGTAGTCCTAGCTACTCAGGAGGCTGAGGTGGGAGGATCACTTGACTCCAGGAATTGAGGCTCCCTCCTTCCCTCTCTCTCTCTCCCTCCCTCCCTCTCCCCTTACTCCCTCTGTCCCTCGCACTCTGTCTTCTTCCCTCCCCC